TTATATGCATGCTTGTTTTGTCTTGTCTCTGTCCCGTAGAATTAAAAATTATAAAATATTATTTTTAAAATATTAATTAAATTAAATTAAATTAATAAAAATGACTCCTCAGATATGACATTTTGTTGAACATGTTGGTGTTCCATAGGTTGTTTCAATCTCGTCTGCCTCAGGATTGAATTTCTGACGCTAAGCTGATGAGTTGAGCTGGGCAAAAGGTACCTGTGTGCTTTTTAATTTTTTGATTTTGAGGATTCTTACTTTTTATATTACAATACATCAATTTTTATCTTTAATATTTTTGAGTTTGAGGAAATGAGGTAAAATTTAACATCAGAGCGTCACGTGTAACATGTGCACCGTTGGTCTCCGTCAAGTATGCACATATCAGCGTCAACTCAGACTTTTTTGACAACTTAGTATGCCAACTTGGAACCCCATGAGTGGGAAGTTTACCTGTTACCAATTTTATTTATGGGTCCACCGTAGACTAAAGGTTTGAAAAAAAAGGTTAAATCTTCGATTCAATCCCTCAACTTTCATTTTTAAACTAAATTTACCTTCGAACTTAAAAAAGTACTAGAAAAATCTTTCCTTTAATAAATAAAAATTTCTTTTTTTTCTTTTTTCTTTCCTTTCCTTTTTTTTTCTCCCTCTCTTTCCTTTTCTCCTTCCCCTCCCTACTGGGTTCGAAGGAACACAGCACCAGCGCGCAAGTTCCTCGAACCCAGGCGCGGGTTCCTCGAACCCAGGTGCTGGGTTCCTTCGAAGGAACCCAAGGCCTGGGTTCAGGGAACCAGGCGAACCCAGCACGCCTGGGTTCGAGGAACCCAACACGCCTGGGTTCGAGGAACCCAACACGCCTGGGTTCGATGGAACCCAAGGCCTGGGTTTGAGTGGAAGGGTATATTTTTCTTATCTAGTTTATCTATTTGAAACCAAGTATGAGTGCATGTGCATCTCTTGGATGCTGGAGGGAATAACATCTTTAAACATTCAGGAAGAGCTTTGGAAGATTTGCGAGCTTTTATATTTAACAAATTCCGTCCATCTGAAAGCGCAAAAAGTCAACAACAAAGAATTTGGGGTCCTATTTCAACTCTCACATTCAATTTTATGGTTGCTGTTGGTATTATTTTCATGAACAAATGGGTTCGTTCTTTGTACCATATTATGTATGTGCTACTACTGGCTTTACATTTGACAGCTCTCTAGTGGTTATTGCATAGCTTGTTCCTTTTTGTTTGTGCAGGTTCTTAAAAATGTTGGGTTTTAGTTCCCAGTATTTCTTACTTTTATTCACTATTTAGTAAGCTGGGCATTGATGGCTGTCTTGAAATCCTTCGAAGGAACCCAGGCACTGATGCTGGGTTCCTTCGAACCCAGTAGAGAAGGGAAGGAGAAAAGGAAAGTGAAGGAGAACAAAAAAAGGAAAGGAAAGAAAAAAGAAAAAAAAAGAAATTTTTATTTATTAAAGGAAAGATTAAGTTCGAAGGTAAATTTAGTTCAAAAATGAAAGTTGAGGGACTGAATCGGGGATTTAACCTTTTTTTTCAAACCTTTGGTCTGCGATGGGACTCACAAATAAAATTGGTGGCAGGTAGACTTCTTGCTCATGGGGTTCCAAGTTGGCATGCCAAGTTGTCAAAAAAGTCTGAGTTGGCGCTGACATGTGCATACTTGACGGAGGCTAACGGTGCACGTGCTACACGTGACGCTCTTGCATTAAATTTTGCCTCATTTCCTCAAACTCAAAAATATTAGGGGTAAAAATTCATGTATTGTAATATGAAAGGTAAAAACCCTCAAATTCAAAAAGTTAAAGGGCAAACGGTACCTTTTGCCAGTTGAGCTCAAAATCAGCAAAGCTTATTTCAACTCAAAAAGCTTAAATTCAATCATATATAAGTATCAAGATCAATGAGAGGTATATATGTTGTGATGAATGGCAACACAGGAGGCTGAAGTAATTAATGTTTAGTAGATAGGTACTCAACCTTTATTAATCAATTATGTTGGCAATATATAATCCATAACAGAGATGAATCTCAAGGCCTGCATGGTTAGATTTAACGAAAGACATAATCCCCTCTAAGTTCTAACAAAGCAGCTGCTTATAGTGTCTTAAGGAAGAATTAGCACGTATGTGAAGAATGTTGCGATAATACCGCTATTTCAAGGAACTATAAAATACCATAAACAAACAGTCGAAGGTCTTCAAACTTTGCAGGGTCAGTCAGGACTTTACCATGACACAAGAGTGCAAGCTTCTTTTCAAATAATTAATATTTAATAATTAATAATTATTATTTATAATTCAATGTATATAATTCATTTAATTAAAATTAATAATTAATAACTATTTACAAAATACTAAAACAAACATTCCTTTATCCCTTTTTTCAATGTTCATGTGTGACATTCATTGATTATTAGTGGTCATCTTTCACGGTTTTTTCCAATAACCACGTCTTTATTGACAACAAAATATGTATAGACTATAGACTATGAATATTAATTAGCTGACTACTTGTGTCCAAGTACAAAAAGCAAGATAAAATCAAAAAGCGAAAGAGAGGTAAAAGTCACGTATGTACAGTATCGTTTCATGATATAAGCAAGGATGAAAGAAAGAAACCGACTTTCAATCAAAATCACGGCTCAACAGTTCCAATATTACGTGTGATAGCAATTAGAAAAGGAAGCAAGAACTGGGTACTTACGAGAGCCTTATCTTCGAATTTGTGCAATTGCATGCCATGTGTTTGCATCATTGCCTCACAGAAGTTTTGCTGTGGACGGTGACTCGTCATCCATTCCGGATATATAAAGCGGCCGATGGGCGACAGCGTAGGCTTTGGAAGTTGATGTCTGGTGGTGAAATGTCATTTGCACCCCAGATGGACCCTACTAACAGAGGTAACGACTAAAAAGCCCAATTGCCCAAATCACCATTTTTCTCCAGTTTTTCTTCCAAATAAAAAGTATATATAACATATACAAGGCAGTGCAGTATAAGTCATTATTTAAAAGAAAATTGAAGAATATTTCTTAAAATTATCTTTAAATTAATATTTTTAAAAATTAATTATTAGATTAAAAATTTTATTCATATAAATTATGTTTGTTAATTTTTATATCAATCTAATATTTATAATTTTTTTATAAAAATAC